CCACACACATCCAGCCATGCTTAAAAAAACGACTATAATTACAAAGTGTACACTCAAATCAGAGAACACCGGAGTGACATTTTGGCACTGTGTTCTGGTGAAAACACACACATACATGCTTTCCTTATCTATCTAATTACCTCTCTCAATCAATCAATACATATTTCCCAGCCAATTCCATATCTGATTGCAAGCATCCGCTGTGAGCTAAATGTGATTTGAATGCATCAAGACCTGCCATATAATATTATCAAGTTGGATTGGATCATAAAAGCCACACCGCTATCACTGTGTAACCTTGTTACTGTGCAACCATAGTGATGGTGTTAACCTAAACTAATTAAAATGGAGCTCACTGCAACAAAGAACGTTTGCATTAATCAAATCAGGTAAGAAAAGCTTTCAAATGTACATTCTTTTTTTGACATCTTTCCAATACCGTTTCACTGGGAAAAAGTAGTAGACCTCAAACTGAAGCCTGACTTTAAATCCTATCAAAATGTCCTATCAAACCACAAAGCTTGAAAGACGTAGAACATACAGTTGCGACAGTAGGATAAGTGGGCGGGCTCAGATCAGAGGGTCTCCACCCAACTGTGAAAATGTCTGCCACACACTGCGCCTGCCTGGGAGAGAAAAACAACTTCCTCCAAAGAAATTCTGAACCCTTCGCAGCCTCTGCTTAGATAACATACGGCCTGCAACATGGAAACACACTGCCATGTTTGAACCCCTGTGCTGCACCATATGGATGTAGAATGTCATTATTTTGGTAATCCGATATGATTTAAATAGAAGAGAGAACATACAGAATAAGTTCAATCAAAGCCCATACGCACGCACGAGACATATACTGAAACCCCTTTAACACTATACTGTATGGCAGGACACTCATCCACAAAGCTCATCATTACATTATATTGACAGGATGAGATATGAGTATATACTATATCTTACCCCCCCCTCATGACTCAATGTACCACCATGCTCTTTGCCCGACTGTCACCTAATCCTCATGCCGCCACCAGCAGAGAGGCAGGCTCCAATAAAACAATGTCTAACTGCAGCCAAATTACTTTATGTTTGTGTCAGTGGGGGTCGGGGGAAGAAAAATATAGTTGTGAAGCAGATGAGATAACAGAAAAATGGAAGAGATGGTGGGAATATAAGGCAGAGGGTCCAGAAATGGGTAAAGAAGTGAGGTTATTCTGCCTTAGGTTTTAAGTGAAGTGAATGACAGTTTGTCCAGAAATGGTAATTATATTAATATTTGACTATGATATTGTTTAAGTGTAACGATCGCTATTAAGACTTTAAATACAGCACAAGAACATTACCCGTTAGCATGCACATTACTGAGTCATAGAGGCACGAGGAGAATTCAATATGAGGAGGAGACCTGAAGGAGGCAGAGAAAGAGAGGAGGGTCACTAGTGATTTTCCCGTCTAACTGTCAGGCTCATCTTCCTAAAACTTTTGAAACGTTTTAAAAAATGAAATATGAACTTGTCATTTTTACATCAATAAATGAATAAATGGGTTTTTTAAAAGAAAAGTTTGGTATTTTGGTTAGCTTAGCTTTAAGTGACTTCATGTAAGTTAGAATGAAAAAATAACCTTTTTTATCATTCTGATTGTGTGCTATTTATCTCTCATATATATAAACATATGTATATAAAAAACAAAATACGTTAGTATGAAGTTCATGTTGCAAATTAGAACAGAAAAATACATTTAAATGTAATTGTTGTGCATTATATATCCTTCTATATATTATGCACAACATAGTCATTTATCTTATGCCCTAGAGCAGCAGAGCATTGCCAAATGTTAGTATCGTCAGCACAAAATGCATCCCCATTTGTCCTTTTTTACACCAAAAAAATAACCTGCTTTTCACGCCTTTCAAGCCCAGCTGACATTTGCCATTTCTATTTAGACATTCCATTTCAAAGACGGAAACCCAGCTTCTGACAAAGACGGATACAAAGAGCAGAAAGCATTAATATTCCAGCTGGCTCTGAAATATTCCTCAAACAAAGTTTAATCAGTCTTTGTGTAAAGATACAGAAAACTCCACGGGGAGTTGTTCGGGGTGATATAAAGAGTGTGAGAAAGTGAGTGTGTTCAAACTTTTGTCTGTCTTGTAGAAGAGTAATTACGTGTTATCGGGGTGAAGTGATGGAGAGCGGAAAGAAAGTGAACAACACTGCAGGTTTTCTGAGGCCGAGATCCTCTGAAGAATTCGAAGAGAGAGGTGATTTATGGTTTATATCTAAAGAAACTAATGCAGTGCTTGTTTTATTCACTCTCACAGTCCTGCGACTGGGAATAGGATTCCCATTACAGAACCACAAGTGATTAAAACCAGATGAAACAGATAATCACACCACTGTGGGCTGAAAGCTAAGTCTCAGCGAGAGCATTGTACACTATTGGTACAGATCTGTAATCCTCTTCTCTCCCGTCCTTTTCGAGAGAGCATAGTTTGACTTCTCCTGCAGGAGGGAAAGAACAAACCATTCCTCAACTGAACAAAACATATCTCTTGTTAATGACTAAGATAATCTGACTCAAAATTGCAAAGGCAATGCAATCACAGGCTCAAAAAGTGTGCAGAACTACATTTGATATTGACGATCTTAATGAAAACACATTGATCACACCATGTGTTCGTATCAAGGGACTCGTTATATTATATTGGAGTCCACATCAGTGTTATACATGACACAGAAATGATATCTAAGAACAGATTCAATCCTCTAATTGGATTTAGATGGATAATATATCACTTCTTATTGAGCAAAGTGACTAATATACACATGTAGACAAGCTTAAATCATATTTTCCCTGAGGAATTCTCTAGTTATTAGAATAATGTGCTTACTCATCATTTCCGAGAAAAGACGTCTCCGTCCACGTAACCTCAGAAGAGACCTTGACTGAAGAAGAAGACATCTTCGGACGCTGGTCCTCGAATAGTTCACAGCCAACGGGAGCTGTAAGCGGAGTCAGGAGTTGGTCAGAGCTGACTGATGTGAGGTCAGTGCTATGGTCAAAGGACGTCCAAGAGGAGTCGGAGGAAACAGATGGGCTTGTGTCCACGGTCTCATCTCGCACTCCATCTCCACGGTCCATGGTGCAAGAAAGAAAATCGAGAGAACGGGACAATGAAGATGAATGAAACAGACAACAAAAGAAAGGAGACGTGGGTGAAGACGGGCAAGTAGATGAATGCATCAAAAGATGGCTTGATAAAGCGAAAAGCTGGAACTAGATGATGATGAAAAAACACAAGAAATGTCTTTGCACTCCGACTGGCCAAAGGCTCCTCACGCTTCTCTTCTGTCTCTGAAGAGTTCTGTCGCGAGTGATGAATGGAACGGAAAGACAATCAGAGGAAACACTAGACAAAAGAGATTGAGATATGGATGTGAGGGCCAGGAAAAGAAAAAACACTCAGGCACTGAAGAGGAAGCGAGACACGGACACCGGAGAGTCCTTTTTAAAAAGAGCTGCAGATGTGTAAGGGAGGTGATCACAAACAAAAGAAGAGGCGGCATCAGTTGAAAGGTGCGGGCAGCAGCACTTACAAGGTGATAACTCACAACTCGCCCAAAAAAAAATTGAATCATGTGGTAAGTGGATAGAGTCGGAGCGGGACGGGAAATCGATTGGAGATGCGTGGAGAGGCTTGAACTGGTGGCTTCTGTGGCTACATGATAGCAGCAGGCAAGAGAGTGCCGTCTTGGGTTGCACTGATAAGCAGTTTATTACAAGAAGTCTCACCCCACCTAAATACAATTAGGGCGCACCACTTAAACCCATTAGGACCCTGATATGAGGAAGCCAGGTTAGCCAGCCTCCCATAGGTACACTGGGAATAGGCTGAGAGCATTGTGCTGCAGACAGTAAAGAGACAGTATCTCAGCAGTTCATTGTCACATGGAAATTGACAGAAAGACAGTTCGGGAATTGGTCGATTTGCTTCTTTTCCTGAGAGTTAGAGGAGAAAATGAATGCCACTCCCATGTTTAATGTATTAGCTTCGCCTACAGACTGGTAGAATTAAAAAATCTCCCATGATGCACTCTATGGATAAAGCAGTAACACAAAATGTTCTTTGATGTGATTGTGATTTCATAGCATACTTCCCATAGTTTCCTTTTTTAGCAGTAAAGTTTGTCACTTTGCCTGACACTCTTGTTCAAGGAGAGCACAAAGGACAAGAAGGGTTCTGCATGCTTTAAACAAACTAGGGTTGAGCTGCAGTGCATACTAAAAAAAAAAATTGTAAAAAAAATGTGGAAAGTATTTAACCTAGCCATGAAATATACCAAGTCCTTGCATGCATCACTCTCAAATGCATCTAGCTTTTGATCAACAGTGGCTGCTGCAGGAGGGGCTAATCATGATAATCCAAGGACATCAAGAGCTTTATCTATTACAATATTTTTAATTCAGAACTTTTCCCACTAAGTCAGGAAAACCAGTTCCAAAAGTTCCCGATTTGGAGCAACATATTGAACTCTTATCTCTGCCAAAAACATGTCCGCCTCTGCTGAGAACAACGAGCACGAGAAGGCTCCCATCCATCTTCAACAGACAAGGGAACATTGATTAAATCAAAAAATCCCAACGTGTTCACTAACTCCCACCAGGGGGACAGTGGCAGGATCACAAAAAGGTAAAGTAGTGCACAGTTTATTTGAACGAGAAGCATTAAACTCAGAGGTTTGCTCTCAAGTAGCTCAAAGACAAACAGATGAACTGTGTTAACAAGGACAGCAGATTGAAAATGTCAGGCCACGAAAAACATGTTCGGGTTTTACTCCGTTAAAAGTGCGAGGACATAGAAGGTCAAGGTAGCTGATAAAACTCTCTTGTCTACATTAACTTTTAATAGAGAGGTTTTTGGGATTCATATCAATGCCCGCTGCTGATTCATCTCACAGGAACAGAACAAAGGCGCAAGGATTAGCCAGATAGTAACAGCGTTGGACAAATTATAATAAGCTAGGGTAGTTTATTCATTATGGTGCTTTATGTACATGTGAATAAGATGAGCTTCAGAAAGTGTTTATTCAAACTCTATGAAGAAAACATGGCTGATAGGAAACAGACATTATAAATGAACATAAGAAATGTCTAACAGGCTATGCATATCATAGCTCTGCACAGAACACAATATTACACGTATATAGATCCATTGTATCACACAAACAAGTGTTTTACAATACAGCTATTTCAACATATTTTGTACAGAAAAATGTATTTGCTCAGAAACTGAATGTGTTTCAACTGGCCTGGAATGAGCATGGCCAGGTATTTTATATCCAATTGAAAAAATATATGAACATGGTGTGCAAACAAAAATAAATATCAAAACGGTTATTTACATTTTCACAATTTAGTAAAAGGCATCAGTGGAATAATGAATTTGTTCTGGACACATTTACGGGCTAATCTGGTTTGTCATCAACAAACTAGACGATAATAACTATCTCAGGTCTTTAACTGTATACATTACTGGTTGATACAGATGACCTCCAAATGCATTTATTATGACATGCCTCTTGAATATGTTCTACAGACAACCAATGTTTCATGTTGAGGAGGCGCAAGTCCAACTGTAGATTTAGAGGAATCTTATCCGGAAGAGGATCCCTGGCGGCGCTGCCAGCACTGACAGGAAGTCATTACAAAAAATGGGGCCAAGCCACCGAACAGGTGACCCAGTAATGCCCTTAAGAGTATCCAAAATGAGTTTATTTGGCGGGCACAATGACAACAACACATGCGGTCTAATCTGTGTCTGTTTCTCTTTCTATGAACAGGCCAAAGTATTGTTTTTTCCGGCTACAGAGATGGGGCTTTTGCAGAGAAGTTATGTCACAGCTAAATGATGGAAGCCTGGAGAACTTTCCAATCATCGCCTGGTCTTAAAAAGTGTAGGCCAGGTAAGAAAAAGCAGATGTAAATATGGAGAGAAACTGTGTCCTGTGAATTTAACTTGTGAGGCCCCTAAAAAAAAGGTAGGTATTCCAACATGTGGCCCCCGACATTCCTTGAAACAGTAAATGAATGCGGAGCAGGGTGGCTCGAAATGCAAAGTGAGCATCGGCGAGGGTTAGTGGCAGGGTTAACGCAACTGGTTCCCAAAAGCAGGAGTGTTAGCCCAGAGAAAAAGAAAGGTTGGTCCAGAAAAAACACAAAATAGCGACAATCCAGAGACAGCTGCTCCGTGAACGAGCCCAGACAGCTCAGTGTACACAAGCTGGAGGGGAAAGACACGCAAAGGAAGGAAACACAATGGCCGACGTCTCCTTTAATAAATTGGCCTCGGTTGTTTCATGCTGTAGTGGGCCTCTGATGCTGACACATATGCGGACTCAGGAAAAAAATCCTCCTGGAACTCAGCCAGAAACCTATAAGAGAGAGGGCGGGGTGGGGAAGTACAAGAGAGGGAAATCGGGTGAGATCTTTTTGACCCAAAACGCATTCAGAAGGCCTCTCTGTTCACATCAAATATTCAACATAAGCGATTTGTCACAATAGGCTTACACGAAGCAATGACAGTACAGCATCTCAAATGTCACGTCCCTGTTCACTTCCACTTCCTAGATATCCCTGGATCATTCACATAAATCCCAGACCCCCTGCCCTCTGCCCGGGGTATATACATGTCGGACACAAAGCCCCCTCATCCGTCCCTATACCACCACCACCACCACCACCACCACCAGAGGACCAATGGCTATGACAGGAAGGCCGAGGACAGGAGAATGACTGACAGTCAGCGAGGGAAGAGTGAAAAATCCCCCCTCCTCCGCCTCCTCCCATCTAATCAGTAGCAGGGAAAACTAATCCGGAATCTTCTTAGTATCCGCTACTCGGCCAAATCCTCTAAATCTTGCCATCTCATTTTAGCTCCACCGGCCCTCCTAATCTCAATGCAAACAAATTATCCTCATCAGAAAATTTAAGAACGCTTTGACAACGAATAACAAGACAACTCTAATGGGACAATAAGGGGAATATATGAGGGCTCTACAGTAAATTAATCTAAGGTGAGGAGGAATTTCAAGCCTCATTCTTCACTTGAAATTAAAAAAGTTGATTTATTGGAAAGAATTGAACATTTTTTGATCCAATATTCCAATTTTTTGTGCCTTAATTTAGGCTTGTGCCAATCTTTATTGCCGTTAGATAAGTAATAACGCAAGGCAAGCCGCTTTAGGCCTACACATAGTAAATCAGCATAACGTGTGCGTACACATGTGCACACACACCCAGACTCAATCATAATCACTCTTGGGGAGAAAGGGAGAGTGAGAGATCAACTGTGGCCAAATCCCAGAATGCACTGCACTTCAGTCTCTGCGACATCAATCAGTTTTTGCCCGCTCTGCACAATCTGCCATGAGGTTGATTTCAGAGCAAAAAAGGCCTGAAGGCTTTCCCAAAAGACATCAGTATTTTAGTTTGTGCCCAGTGTCCTTCAGAGGCTCCAGCACGGGGGAAAATATTAAGTAGTTACTGCGCGTAACACTATCAATACCGCCTGAGCACCTCATCACTGAGCTACAGTGAAGCTGCAACACTAATTTACTTCTCTTTGCAAGTTATTGTCAGTGCCATTTTGCAGAATGATATTCTATGAAAGGAAATGAGCCCGTGATTTGCAGTCCAGTGAAGTGAAGACAAATACTTTCTTCCCAAACTACTGATGACTACAGATGATATGCTTAGCCAAGAGAAAAACTGCTAATGCTGCTGCAAATAATGAGGTGTTTTATACGGTGTGGAGTGGTAGGATCCCGTGTTGACAGAATAGAATAAATCTGTGCATCACATATGTCGCTGAATGCTGTAATCATACTGCACACCACTCTCTGACATGATTGCCAGCTCCGGCTATTTTCAGAAGACCCCCCCCCGTGATTTGTATGGCTCTGAGTACTGGGCTCCAGTTTATTTATTTATATACATGTTTCGGTTGAGTGGAATAGAGGTAATTCTGGCCCACAGACTCCCGCTCCGTGGGGAGTTGGGGGGCTGCTCCACAGCACTGCTTGGTGGCAGGGGGCGGTACTGCGTGTGTTTGATTAGAGAATGAGAGGACCTAAATCCCCCAGGTCTGGGACCGGCTGAACTGAAGATCGCTTGGGAGGATTTAAAGATTAGACTCCGACGCTTGTGTAACGCCCACTCATCTCCCTCCCTCCAACACATGCTCTTTCTCACTCCATCCCTCCCTCCCTCCACTCCACCCTCTGCATGTTCTCATTTACTTCCATGCCTTTTTGTTTTTCTGTTTCTGGGTTATTCTTGTGCATCGATAATCACTTTCTATGGATTCTTTAGTTGCTATTACTTTACTACTGTGGCGCAAGTTAACAAAAATGTGCATACGGTATAATATGTATTTATCAAGGCTATAACCCTTATCTCCTTGTGAAATGAGAACTTCCTGCAGCTCAACTTTGGCTGTGGTTAATGAGCCGCGCGGGTTATGAGCAAGGTGCATATTAAGTCAAAGTGCTTACTATTTAATGTCTCCTTAATTGAATGCAGCACCTCGTCAATATAATGAGATATTCTCTGTGGAAATCACACATGATTTCACACCATTTACGGGTGAAATAAGCGGGTGAAATTCCAATATTATGCCTGAATGTTTAAGGGAATAAACTGAAATCCTTTAGGCCTGAGTGAAGGAATTTTAAACCTGTATTTAATCTCTGTAGACCATTTGAATTGAATACTTTCTTTCCCTAACATGCCTCGTAAAGTGCCTAACTCTGAGATGCATTTCATTTGAACACCATAATTACTAACCTTAGAAAGAGCTCCAAGTGCTTGACCAGCGCTCGGAGATTCCTCTCAGGGATCTGCATTTTCCCCAAGATTTCAGGAAGCTTCACTGGAAGAAAAGCAAGAAATTGAGCAAGAATTCAATCAAAATCATAAAATAAGAGGAAGATTAGTCCCTGCTCCACATTTAAACCACTGAAATCACGTGTAAAAAGTGAACCGGTGAGAGTAAAGTGAGCAGAGAAACTAACCAAAAAGACGCAGGAGGTGCTGGGCTCCGTACAGGTATGAAGGTGGGGGGGGCTGGTCATGCAGAGGGTAGTTATCTGGAGTCAGCTTCCAACTTAGTACCTGTACACAGAGTAGAAGAAAAGAAGCAGGAACATTTAGGTTTTAGACGTTTACATTGAAATCCCTACACAGTTCTGAACGGCCTACATTTAAAGGTTACAATCAATGTTTCATATGTTGTTCCATATGCATGTATGAATAAATAATCATACACACAAGGACCACTTTTACATCCTGGGTATTTGACTGTGTCGTTGTCTCTCGAACTATCCAGGAGTCCTTGGGCGAGATGTTGCTTCCCTTCCAGTTATCAGTATGTTCATCACACACACACACACACAATTTGATCACCTCATTAAGCTCATTGTTCCTCCGGCTCTCAAGGCCATAGAAAGGCCCACTGCGCTCTTTGCTTGGCGTCAAGGGCAACGGGGAGGATGAGCCACTGTGCACTGGGGTTTCTGGGTAAAGAGAAAGACAGCAAAACATGTTAACAGTTCAACTTTTAGAAGTGTTGCCTGTCACTGCTGAAATGGAGACTTCAAAATAGACCCCATGAGAGCAAACAAGGCTACAACAAGTTTTGAGAGTTCTTCTCAGAGGAGTATAATTAAGGATGAGTGTGTGAGGAAAGAAGAAGGGCAGCACCATCTACTGGGGAAATCTCGTTATTACAATTAGGTTTTACTTTACTGTGAGCGGTTACAACACAGGTGTAGCAAATAACGGCAAGATGGAGCAGAGCCATCATTAGGGTTATTAATTGCACCTGTGTAGAGAGAAAAAATATTGGGTAATTGCAGGCCATGAAAACAGCCATTATCTTTTCCATTATAATGTCAGAAATAGACAAAAAGAAGTTTACTATTTTTAGTAAAGGCAAATAAAAGTGTTAGAAAAGTCCACATGGCTCTTTATCATCATAATAAGCTTTTATTTGAATTCATATTTTCTTTTATGGAGTGTCATCTTACTTCTGTCGAGGTTAAGGAAGAACTTTGGCTGGGATGAGGTGTCGATCAGTCGGCGTTTGAGCTGCGGGGATGCTGTGGCACTGCCTCCACCTGGATCATTACATTACATGTATTAATAAACAGCATGCATCAACAGCTCACAAGTGTAGTCAGTGTTGCAATATGCTTCACACACACATCGATTACTGAGAGAAAAGTGTTTTAAGAAGAGATATAATTGGATCATTTTTAAATTAGAGCATAAGTAATAAGGGATCACCTCCACTGCTTCCTTCGGCTGGCCGGTCTCCTCCAGACGTGTTCCTGGTGGAGCGTCTGAGGGACTGAGACTGGAAGGAGATGCAGTCCATGTCGGGGTGGCGCCTGCGCTTCGGGGTGGGGGCTGGGGCGGTGGGCGTGGAAGCAGATATGTCGCTCAGTGCTGGTTGGCTGTCTGTGGACTGGGGGGTGGGCGGGTTGTGCCCCAACGGGCTGGGGCTGCGCTCTCTTTGGGCGCTTTAAACATAACGGGAAAAGAAAAGGCCTAAAGTTGAATGTTGGTGTATAATATTCACATTCAGTACATCACATCCAAAGAGTGTTACAAAAAAAACACACAAACTAGATTCACCATGGCACACTTACTTGCTGGAGCAGGGGGAGCTTTCATTGACGGCCAGGAAGAGCCTGGATGAGCTGACCTTTTTGAACTGAGCTTGTTCACACGGGTAGAGGAGGATCATGGGTAAGGTGAAGTCAAACGTGATCCTCAACCCGTCGACCATCTCCTTACACAGCTCCTCGCTTAAAACAAAGAACGAGTTCATAATCATTCATGCATTCTGAGCTGGGTCTGATGTAAAGATTCAGCTCATAATTAAAAATAACATGTTTACAACATATAAGTAGATTCTCACCTCTTTTCTGGAGGTACAGGCTGTGGGCTGCTGCTCTGTGTGGCGCTCTGCTGACGCCGGTATCTCTCGTTGGCCATGAAGGCTTTGTTGATGGCAAAGTGTTTGACGTAAGACTCGAGGATGTGCACGACATTCGTCTGACAAGGAACCATCACCAGCTAGGAGAGAGAAACATGGCCGATTATTGACAAGCCTCAAGTCAAATCAATTTATCCACACTGCCCACAGGATGTACAAATATGAAAATATAAACAATTAAAGTACCTTCTTTCTCTTGTTAATGTAAAAGCAGTCATCCTCCAGTTTCTTCTTCAGGATATCAGGGATGCTGATGTCAACATGGATAATCTTTTCCTCACATTCTCTTTTAACAGTAATGTCTGGCTCAACCCTCTGAAAAAGATGCAATATAACCATCAGGTAAATGGTTAATAGAAACTAAGAGGATATACAGAAGTATTGGTTATTCAAATCCTTTTTGGCTTATCAAATTATTGGTTCATTAGCCAATTTGCAAAAAAATGATGGTTGCTAAACTGCGATTTTGTTCAGATAATAGCATCAACTAAAGGCCTAAATTCCAAATGTTGGGTGTATGTTTGAGATGGGAACAGAACTGTTCCCCTTTACCATTTTGTCAGTATCCTCAGAGAAGGTGCTGTCCCCGCTATTTGAAGATTCAGTGTCTGAGTCGTCCCCGTCACTGCTGTCTGTAGACGAAATCAGACCTGAGACAGAGAAATACGGAGAAGGATTAATTTGATTGCTAAGGGAGACTGGGAACAAAACACAAAAGACAGAGAAGTCATCTTACATGCGTCGTCACTGTCGTCCTCCTTAGGAAGAATTTTGAGAGAGGAGGATTTGGTACCAGATTGACGACGGCGCCTCTTCGCCCATCCCTTTTTCTTCCTGTCGAAAGGAAAGAAAACAAACAACCTAAGATCAAATCAGAAACAATGTGAACACAGATCTGCAGGAGCATGCAGTGCACTGAACTTAGTTTAAGTTACAGGTGTCCAGACTTTTTTATCGCTTGATAATCACAAGCTCTCTAGTAAGAGTACATGATTCACATACAAGAGAGTATACTCTATGTCAATGGTTACATTGTGATGGTGTTATGACTGAATGAACATAATATGAACTTACATGCGACCTAGAGCTTTGCGAGCCAGTTTATGTTGCAATTTACGGTTTTCCTCTGAGTCCCTTAGGACATGATCCTCAGCAGCCCACCGATCCCAGCTACCCAAACACACACAAGTTAAAAATCACACAGACCTGCATGGTTTAAGTGTTTCACAGCTATTATCTCACAAGTTGATGAACATGACATTTGGCAACGATAAACACTACAATGAGTATGATATATTTAAGTAGGTGGGTGGCTGTGACTGCATGTTTATTTAATATGAATTCAAGCGAGACATTTACCTTCTGCTCCAACCGTTGAAATGAATCAGATACTTTGGGATTCTTATTCCATGTTTATCTGCAATCAAGACATCAATGACCTGTAATGTGAACACAAAACATTACAATATAGCCTTCTTCACAACTTTCTTTGGGATGGAACAGTCTTATACTCACAATTCAGCTATTTTCATTACTCAAACACTAAGATTATGTCAGCAGAGGTATGTGCATTCACTAAAATACTGTCCTGTGTAATTCCATGTTTTCAGACTCTAAAGTTTCTGTTACTTGCATTTCAGCCGGAAATATCTTAGTTTTTGTTGCACTACTTTTCTGCTGCAAGCTTTACATACTTTTTTACTTTGTCAATCACGAACAGTGGAGATTAATAATTTAACTTGGCATCAATTATACCAACTTCGATTATCAATAAGAGAACGGAGCATTAATTTCTACATTTGGTTTTAGCTAACGTTACATTATGCTGCAAAAAGATGAATGTAGGAGATACTTGGACATTGGTATTTTACATTGTACTGTAGTTCTTTAAACAAGTATGTTTTTTAAGATTCTTGCATCAATGCAACTCACAAATGCGCAGTTAAACAACAGTTACGGCGAACTGTTAGCTAGCCTCAGTTAGCAAACGACAGGCTATGATGTAAACAAACCCTCTATTAGCATTGGCTTGCTAACTAGCTAGCTTGTGAAAACGACTTGCGAACTTGGAAGAATATACCAAAACCTTGTAACCCCAAAATATGTTTGTCTACTCATAAGCCCTTAACATGATTATACTCTAAGCTATCGAGGAATTACATTAAAATAGCAGGACAGTCATCAAGAGTTAGCGACATTACAATGTTCGGTGTTGACAAAGTTAGCAGGGTAGGTGTGTTGGTTTATTTGGAGTCAGAATAACGTCACGTTGGATGATTGCCACCAAGCTACGTAAGGGATGTCTTTATATATCTGTCTCTTACAAAATAATTGCATTACTTGGTGATAGCCTGTACTGCAATATAAGCTGTTATCAAGCAGCCTGCTTTGACATTGGCTAACGTTAAAAGCTACAAAAATAACCCTTGTCTTTACGAACATAACTTGGCTAAATCGCACGATATGAGAAGAAACGTGCAATCAAACGTACCCGGAAACCATGCATTTTTATTATGCGGTTTATAAACTGTTAATGTTGTTTTTTGGGGCCTAAGTATTTGTCAAGATGCATGCATCCCACACCTACATTAACAAACCTTATTTTCCAATATAAAGTATTCGTTTAGACAATAGAGAATATCTTAACTTCTTGCAAAAAGCATTACCTTAGCGTCATACAACACTTTAGCCTTAGACGGGTCGGGTTCAAAGCACAGGATTCTTTCTCCTTTGTGAAATTTAATTCCCCGCGAATTCATTTGTTCATGGCGACGTCGATCTGGACCACCCTATAAACTCCGTAACCCTTTCCTTGCCAAACTGTAATAAGGGGTCTCAATGCAAAACAGGCGTTGGAGGGATGGCGCTGTTGTGGACAAATGCATGGATGAATGCAGTCAATGTGTGCTGCCTTCAAAGCATGCTCGTAATTTTCATTGCTTCAGGTTTAAGGAGCTGGGCTTTTTACATTTTGGAGGCCTTGATTTAATTGAAAACTTTTTTTTTGCAATACACATTCAATAAAAACAAACCTGATACTGAACATCACCCAGTCTGTGAATGATCTAAATAACAACACTAGGTTAAAAAAAAAAAGTAAACTCCTGTTTGCAATCATTCAATTTCACAACATTTCATATAGCACTGAAGGCAGCACAATAAACGCAATTTACCAAGATAAAATGGTCTCTCATGGACACCGTACTGCTGGTGCGATTTCAATAACTGTCCAGCAGATGTCATTCAAGTTATACAAAAACTGAGGGTAGACACTAAAATGTCAATTTAATACAACTTGTCTGTGTTGTGTATGTGATATCATGAATATTAGGTTTCCAAAAGTCCCTTTACATGGCTCCATGTATTTCTATGTACATCCCCCAGACTTATTGTTTCTGAGTTAACATGACCCTTTTTCCTTGAGGCAAAATACAGTGAAATGAAATTCACCATGTCCAAATAATCTAATCTTGCTCTATTGGAACAATATGGTGGCGCTACAGCGTGGGGATGTTTAAATGTTCGGCCAGAAACACATGCAATCTTAGGTTGGATAAATATATTGCTTGAGGTGTTTTGAGTTTAATTACTTAAAAACATATTTTTATTTATTTCTTTGAGTTATACATCTACAATAATACTGATGTTAATTGTCTTTGACGGATAAAAATAACCCCTGTATCGCTGGATTAATGTTTCATATTGCTTATCTGAGTCTACAATTAGTTTGATTCATTTCGTTTTCTTGACCTTGTGGCCCTTTCATTCATTTCTGTCTAACAAGCTCAATGAATTTTACAATGATCCATGGCACAGGAAACCATGTGTGTGTGTGTGTGTGTGTGTGTGTGTGTGTGTGTGTGTGTGTGTGTGTGTGTCACACTGAACATGACAGCCCCGTGGATTTATACTGCTTCCCTCTGACCCTGCCTGTGATATACTTTGACAGTCACCTCAAATGAGCATTACATGTTTTCTAGGTAACACATAACAGTCCTGCTTTTCTCAAGAAGAGTTTAAAGGCAGCAAAATGTAAAGTCAAAGATGTTATACTCTCTTAATCTGTGGTATGGGAATATAATATATATTCAATTATTCACTATTGTTCCATATGACTGTTGTTTTTGGCTTTCTTCCCAAATGGAGGAGTAATATTGGCCCAGTTCAGGGCAACCCTGCCTCAGGAGCTGGCTTCTTTCCATAAATGTTTTTTACAAAGTAATGTGAAACACCATGTTTTCTTTCTATAATTCCTGCTTCTGTGTTTTCACTCAGTCTGTGTCTCATTCTTTCCCCACCCCAGACCTGTTTTTAGAAGGGTCGAATCTATCTCAGCTGTTATCAGTGTTATGTCATGCTGTGTTGTGTGTACGTGTCATGCGGCGCAGCTTCATAAGCTCCTTTATCAGCCGTCCGGCACCCTCCTCTCCAGACCCCCGCTGTCCCTTTTCATTTTCCCCATACTTTCACACACTGGGCCACACATGCTCCTGCTCTCTTTCTCTCAAACTCTCCTTTACACACACTCACACAGCCATCTCTTAACACACTGAATAACTCCAAAAGCATCTGTGTAAACAAATGTCTGGAATACAGCCTTTTGCACAGGTGTATAAAGAAAGGCATTGGCTATTAATCCTAATGCTCATTTATTGTGTGGCTAATAATAGCACACAGCAGGCTGCACTGATATGCCCATTATTCCCAGACAGCGAGCTGGATTAATGGGAGACAAGAATTAATATGCCTATTTTCATCCCATGCTAAATCATGTCAGCCTGTCTGAGTGCGTGACCTTCTGCCTGTCTGATGATTATGTCTGTCTACTCGCCTAATTACCTTCACGAAATGAGCTTGTTAATTATAGAAGCATATCTTACCCCACATTTTTAATTGCAGACGCAGCAGGACACAGTTAGTAAGTGGTGCACATTGTTTCAGGCAAATGAGGACAAATGCATGCCTTCATAAATGGATTTAGGCTGAAAGTGATCACCCAGGAAGTCATTTACAGTGTATTTGAGGACAAATAGGGGTCTTAAGTTGACTTTCTAAATGCAACTCATCTGTATAGTTGAAAAGTAAACTCCAAGTGCTTCAGAATATAATGTTTTTACATGAAAGTGGTTAATAATCTGAAAAAATACAGTATGCAAGCACTGGTCTTAAATGTTCTGATGGGGCGGACTGGCCATTGGGAATACCGGGAGTGTTCCCGGTACACCGGTACCGAAGGGGGCCGGTCGGACAAGTCACTAGCACCCCCGCCCCCCCCCCCGTTGACAATTGACTAGCGGTACCGAGTTGGGCCGGTCGGCCGGTCGAGTTTCCCGGGCTGATTTTTAGTCCCAGTCCGCCCCCTCCCACACTCTTGCACACACACTCTTCTCACTCCACTCCAGTCTGGGAATGACCAGCGTGCAGAGTAACACACTGAGAGGGAAAGGAGACTTTCCACTTTGCGCAGCGTCTGCAGCCAGATGCTGCACATTCCTGCTCCTCACCAGCGTGTACTTGGACTTATTTTTCTGATGGGGAAGCACTAAACTCTTTTAGTTGTAGGGGGGCTTCTTTGAGCAGGAGATCCAACATAATGTCTGCCGCTCAAGGACTCCTCAACAGCGTCTTCTCCTGCTCCTCTCCTGCCTCCAAAGCCATTACCAAACGGAGGCTACGCCAAACCCGGAGCCTGGACCCGGCTATCATACGACACTGTGACACCGGGACGGAGGGAATAATAGCCGCGGATTTCTCCGGAGTTCTGGACACAGGTGCGTCCTCGGAGCGCTTGGATGTGAAACCGGCTTTACGCACGAGGATTCCGACACTTAAAGAGCCCATTACGCCGTCCATATCCTCTCCCTCCATACCTTTGGATGTTTCCCCATCTTCAAACTTCCATTTTGACTATGATATAGTGAAGCGCCCCAAAAGGAATACTGCCGGGGATTTACCGTTTCTGGTGAGGGGGCCCGGTTCGACACCGACCGGGAGCACCGGCACGCTGTTCTCCCCGCGGAGGTGGCTTCAGAGGAAGGTGCAGCAGCCCAGCTCTCACGCTTACGTGGTGTGGAAATCAGAGGTAATGTTTTAAAAGTTTTACAGAGCAGTGCAAACGTTTCTGTGGTCTTGCAGTCGTCCTGCAGGAAATGTGTATTTTCCTGTATGGACTCCAGGCCTTATTATTGTTGGAAAGCTTACTACAAAGGTGTCAGTATAGAAAAGTGACTAACATGAATGTATAGGTGTAAACCAAGTCTATATGGCAGCTCCAGGAAATAATAAAAACAATCAGCAGACTTTGTTTATTTCTGCTAGAAGTCCTGCCAGAAGACACATCTGCTGCTCTGTTTTAACACAGCCAGACTCTAAAAAAGCATGTTCTATTCTTGTACTGCATCTGGAATTCCACTGTATCAAATCAGACATCATGACTTCAGGTGCGTGGAGATGGTGGAAGTTTTATGGGTTTTGAAGAGGGAGTGCTGACCCCTCGCTGACACCTGGAAGCCGTCCAGTATCAAACCACTACAGTTGTCCTGGTCCTGCCCAAGGCCACATGGGTAATTAAAAGGCAGAAGGGGCAGCATTGCTTCATGTTTATTACCTGGATTCTTCTTCTCTGTTTTCAGTCCTTTTAACAGTCTCATCTTACACAAAAAGCACTTCTGGGAAATTCTCATACAGATCTGAGGATTAAATAAATCCAACAAAAGTTTGTCCCTCAAAATCCCTTTCTCCCCTCCTACTGTTGCCGTCATTGGGCTTTTGTCTTCATACAGGCTACAAATTGAGTGTGAAAAAGGGGAAGGCGACGCATGAAATCCTTACCAAAACATACTTGGGCGACTTACTTTTAGCGGGGGGGCTTTATAGGCTGCATAGTTGGCACAGGTCCACATGCACTGGTGAGAAGGTATGATAATTTCCCTGCTGTGTGGACCCTCTCACTCCGCCGTAGTGTTTTGCTTATGTGTGTGTACGTGCTGATGTGAGGGACTTAAGGACACATGGCCCGGGACTCGGTTCTCACGGCTGCCAGTGGTCACAGGGTCAAAACCATGCGGCCCTCAAACAGCTATCCCATAATTTCCTATACAAAAAGCTCTCCTTTTCACTTCCTTACAGTG